CAGTTTTCCTTTTATAAGTTTCCAATCTGTCATTTAGAAACCATTAATTTTGTATATATATGTCGTAATTTTAAATATAAAGTGTAGCAAATATCACTTTATAATTATAACATGGATTAATTATCAAATTTAATGCAATTAAGAAAAATATATAGAAAATCTAAGAATAACACATTTATATGAGAAAAATTAATTGTGAGTACTATCCTCTTTCTAAAATATTTTATCAGAATTGCTAGGAATGTTTCACGTAATCCTGCGGAAGAATTCAGGGAATTTGAAAATTTGAGGAATTTGTAGATTTTGATATTTCGATATTTCTACTATGCCAGAAAACAATTTTTTTCTACAACCACCACGGAAAGTATGTTTTTCTGAAATCATCTCAATGGAAACTAAAATTGAAAATAGCCGTTTAATGTAATCAGCTTGAGGAAAATTATTATTAACCGCCTCTCAAGACACCGAAGTAACTCCCAAAAAAATCCTAGAATTTTGTGTTGAATAAAGAGAAACGAGGCCCTACAGTTTATTGCGGAGTCCGAACCACATCTAGGGCATCGACAGTTCTCTCCCATCTGAATCCTAACCAAATTATTAATAAAATTTCTAACTTGCTCCGGGATGGATTCGATTCATCGATATTCGGTACCGAGTAAATAGCTATAAGCGGTTTACCCACTGGGCTACCATGACCCTAATTATTGATATTATAATTAAATGTGCATGACGTCCAATTGTTAATATTAATATTTGGCATCGAATAATTAAACAAATTTTGATTTCTCGTGACTGCAGTGAAATTTACCGGTAGTTGAATTTGAGGAAGTACTGAAGTCTCGAATAAAGTGCTAGTAGAATAGGTAGGCTTGCTAATGATTATTTGTGCATTTTTTTGCTCTCTTTTAGATCATCTATACATCTATACAGGGTGTTTCAAAAACATGTGCCATCGCTTAAGCGAAGATTCCTCACCCAAAAATAAGACAAATAGTTTCTGTCAACATGGATCCATTCTTAGTTCGTTTCTGAGATACACGATGTAAAGTTTTCTTATTTTTTCAGTTTTTTCAAAATATATCCGAAGTGACTTTAACAATTTAAAAGACATTTAGATTGTGAAAAGTACTTAAAATACTACATAAGTTAGTATTAAAATGGTTTGAATAGCTTTATCAGGGGCATACGTAAGTTCTTGCAATTTTATAATTTTGTTAAAGAAATATGTACACCACTGACTTGTTTCCTTTTTGATTACACGGTTATGTAGACAGGTAAGTGCCAAAAAAAAACTTACTTCTTGATGTTTTTTCTAAGATTTTTTTAAAGAATTTATGTGAAGCTTGATATTGAAAAATTGCAATTATTTTCTAAACGAAGCCCTAATCGAAAAAAGAGCAAGTAATTTTTTTAGGCATTTACCTGTCTATACAACTGTGGTATTAAAAAAGTTAAAAAATCAGTGCCGTACATATTTAACACTGTGTATCTCAGAAACACCCTATACACACTTCTGCAATTGTGGAAGATCTCCAGTCTCCAGGTCTTTTCAGACAAAAAATGTCTGCCTCGGCATTAGCATGTAATGTTGCAGACACAGGGGTTGCCTGGAAGCACTTCCCTTTTCTATAGGTGATGAAAAACCATCTGTTCTCTGTTATTAGTGGACGAAGAGTAATATACTTTCTAAAAATATTTAACCAATCTTCTGCACAAGTTAGTGCGTACCATATTGATCTGTATTGGTATAAATATCAAAGAACCACTGATAAATTTCATTTCACATTTCATTTTCACACTCATTGTATGTGCATACAGTGGTGTTTTGGGGCGAACTGAGTTTGCCTGAAACTTATTAATCTTATCCATGTTTATCATTTTTATTATTTTTTAGCTGAGCATAGTCCCCAATCCATAATCTGAAGTATACACTAATCAGATGATTGGGTAAATTTTTGCTTAGTTGAATAATTTCGGAATGTTAAGTGACAACTTTTGATATATTATTTCTACAATTGATCAGTAAGCAACAAGCATCTATGAGGAAGAAACGAGATAACCAACATGAATTAGACCATATCTAGTTCAAGTTAAAATCTATTGATTCGTTTTTGGACTTGCAGCACGGTTTTGGTTTTACATTGTATACTTCCCCTATCTGAGATAAATTATTCTGCGCGTTCCAAATGCAAGATCATTTCTCAACGAAAATAATCAATTTTACTCTCTATAGGAGTGCTCTACAATGTACTGAATTCTATTGCTCTTGCAATAGTTTTTAACTGTTCTTTGGGGCTATTTTTTATTAAGCAGTGACAGGGCTAAATTTATACGCTAATAAAAACACCAATTCTATATTCTCAAATTTCTAAATTCTAGCATATTCTTCCAGGTGGATTCTATTTTTGGTATAAATATTATTATGCGATTTTTGCTTCTCTACTAGTTTTATACAAATAATTATAATCCTCCTTAACAAGATTCAGTCCTGATTCTGTAAATGTTTGCTCTGTAATAAGTGATTCGGTAAGGTCAGTTACTTTTTGGCAATTTTCATTCAATGTTTATTTAATTATTATTATTAATTAGTTACGCTATTTTCTATCAATCTATTGTCGCACTTTTCTTCCTAGTTAAAGAATTTGCAGCTAAACAAGTTACTGAGGAAAGTTGCATGAGATCCATTGCAGTTATAGAATCGGAAAGAGAGGACAATATACTGTGACCTACGAAAAACTCTTTTTTGTTTCTATTACCTTTCAGATGTACCAGAGACACATTTAAATTTGAAATCTTGAAAACATTAATATTTATTTACTTGTAGTACTTTTAGTACATAAATAATCTTTAAAATGTTGTTTTATTCTTGATATTTATTAAAGATGTCAATGATTCAAATGTAATCCATGTTAATTACTATGTACTTAACTACAATTTACCTAATATTAGCCAAAACGTAGATATAAACTAATTTATTGACTTTTTATACCATAATTTATTTAATATGAATAAAATATAATTTCTATAAAAACACTTTATTTTAGAGTATTCCTATTTCTATTTGCACGTGGAAGAAATATTGAAAACAAATCAATTTTTCTTTGTTCTAAAAATGTCTGAACTGCATTTTTATTAAAACTATAGGAAATGTTTCAAGCAAATTAAAATTTTCTTATGGTATCGTGTGTGGAAAGCAACCAGTTATCAGTTTTATAAGATTGTAAGGCTTTTTAAGTCGAGCTGTATTTTAACTTTATCTACGATCGGAAATTAAAAAGTTGTCTATTCACAAAATCGTTAGCTAACATGAAAAAAAAACCAATGTTGAAATAGAAGTTCATCAACACTCTTCAAGGCCATTATACAAGACAATCAAATGCTATTTATTTAAGGGTGGTGGCAATAAATTATGGTATGAATAATCCATTTTCCAAGCGTATAAATAATCTATTGCCAATAATGCCAATTGGTAGGTACTAAGAACACATTCATATATACTAAAGAAATAAAATTAATACTTTATACTTTATTCTATGTTGACATGTATATGTGTCATTTAGACACCGGACAATTTTCGTGTGTGCAGGGCCGGCGCATGGGCTAAGAGACAATAAGAATTATTTGTATGGAATAATTAAAATACATACCTCGAGTGTCTTAACATTTCATGAAACATCCTGTACTGTGTTCAAGACATTGGTATAGATTGCCAAGCATGGACCAGACAAGTTACATGAATCATATTGGGATACGTGGATCATAAAAGCCTGTCAGTTTTACACATACACTACCCATTATTGTTATAACAAGAGGTATAATGGAGAACAAATTGTCCAGTTTTGGAATGGCTCTTGGGGATTCAGTCCTGTTTAATGTAAAACTAAGATATATCAAAATTGAGTTGTTCGATGTTATAAAGGGTGTTTTATAAGTTACTAATAAACTACTTTCATTTTTCAAAATATGAAAAAATTCCATTAAAAAAGTTGTATAGAATTAAATTTGTGCCTCTTTACTAAATTTCTGAAATATAAATTTATTTTGTTCAATAAGTTAGTATTTTGTTTTGAATTTTTTAAAATCATTTTTTTCAAATTGAAATCAGAAACATATTTTCTAAAATAAATTAGTATTATGATTAACTATTGTTATCTTATTTTCAACAAAATATTGACTACTGCTGAAAAAAAGGGGCAGTTCCAACAAAGTAAATTTATGTAAGTAGGCACAAATTGCATTCTAAACAAATTTTTTAATGGAATTTTTTCATGCTTTAAAGAATAAAGGTAGTTTATTAGTGACGATTTTTATAAATTGACTAAAACACTGATTTAAATCATTTTTGATATATCATATTTTTACACCAAACAGGAGTGCTATTCCAAAATTCGAAATTTTTATGTTGATTACACCTCTTGTTACATCTATACTGGGGCAATGTATATGTTGCTGTGTCTGTTACAAGCTCTGAAACACTTTCACTTTAAGCACCAATATTACACAAAGTATTTATTACTACTTCCTCAACTGTTCGCGCATTGGTTTGCAACATGCGTTTATTACATATCAGCAGTGGTGTACTCTGAATAGCAGTTTACAAATCCACTCGTACTGATTTATCGCGACTTACGTAATATTGTCGACACAGTTACTCTTTATCTTTAGCCTTGTGCCCTGTACACTACGACGTTTGTAGGCGAACTGAATTGTGAATAAACACGGTTTAGTTCTCGCTGCGCACGCATAGCTACTGTGCTTTTCTATGGGAGCTCGAACAGGCCCGTTGGGAAGTCGGTCCGGTACTCACGTAAATTGTCCGATATCCAGTCATGGTACTAAAATAATGACATATTTGTACATTTCATATTTTATTATGTCATACAACCTCCTGTCTCTGTGGAGGTACCTTGTGCGGGAGAGGGCTACACATTTAGAGACAATTGACACATACACCCAATATCCGCGTATGCTAGGCCTAATTTATGAATTAGAAAAAATCTTAGCTCCTCGACCAGGGATCGAACCCGGGACTCTAACGTGAGAGGCAAATATTCTTACCACTCGGCCATGAAGCCACCAATAACCTAACTTAATAAACTCATATTTACAATATAATTTCTTCTGAGTGAGAGGGGTTTCTTTAAATTTCTTTCGATCTTATTAATAAACTCGAAAACAAGTGTAGTAAATGGTATGGCCTTGAAATTTGTATCTGTTTCGCGCATGGTGTGCCCCAAAGTTCTTGGGCAACTTTAATTTTTAATTTATCAACGATATTTTCCATTTTCTATTTCCTAAAGTTCGCATATATTTTTCCGATGGTTTTTCACTACTTATGACGAAATTAAACAGTTAAACCAAATGGTTTCTTCAAGTGATAACAGAGCTGAACAGTAGTTCACATCCAATTACGTCAAAAAGAATTGAGGAAAATATAAAAAAGTATTTTCTTCTAACAATAATCTAAATATGTGTTACGTATACAAACTGAATATTGGACATGTACTAAAAGATATATTTATTAGTGTTGGCAAAAAACCAGAAAAAAGTGAAACCGGTTAATCAGTTTCCTCAAAAACCGGTTTCAGATAAAACCGGGTATCCAAATATATACTAAAACGGGTTAATCGGGTAACCGGATATTCGAATAATCGTTTAGAAGACAAATACATTTTATATTTTCATTTCAGTAGATCAGTAGGTACTAGTATAAAAACATACAACAATTTTATAGAACTATTATGTAGGTACCAGTTATCTTAGCGAGGTCGGTAACATCCAAAATTAATACAAAGTGGGCTGAAAGCATTGGTGAATGTAACACCAACACTCACATGTAAATTTAACTAGCGATCACAAGAGTATAAGTATATTATCTATAGTTATTTATTTGTGGCATCATATAATGTTTCTTCTCGCCTTCTTTGGTTATTTGCAATCTCTCGTCGCCAGGATAACTTAATCGCTGTTAAAATTTTAGTAATTAACAACAAAAAACGAAAACATTATGTTCATTCTAAATACCATATAGATTTAATATATAAAATTACAGGCAATACTGATGCGTATTTCTTTTTAAACCAGGAAAATACGAATATATTATTTAGTGTCATTTTATGAAACTAAATAATTAATAAAAGGACGCATCAGTATTTCCTGTAATTTTATTCAATAAATCTATATGGCATTTAGAATGAACCTAATGTTTTCGTTTTTCAATATTGCTAATAGCGATTTATACATTTTAAGTTGAACATCCGGTGAAAATGCAACCTTAAACCATTGTCCTATAAATTATTTAAAAAAATTTGAGAATAAAAGTATATTGCGAATATTAATGCAGCCACTAAAACATTTGCCACTTTACAACCGCAAGCATTGGTGGTTTCATTCACACTTCACGCTTCAGAAAAAGTTCATAAATTCAGAATAATTTTTTTGTTTAATACTGTCACATCTCTGTGATAAATATTTTTCTTTTTTGTGTCGTTTCCGATGGAACCTGGACATTGCTATACTGCCCACTAATATACTTTCGCAAAAATTGTCTCAATAGTGGATTATCTATAATATTACCACTCACACACTTTTTATGACTATTTGAGGAAATGTGTCTCTTAATATTTGCTTGCAAAAATACTTTTTTACAGCTTGTGCAATATAATTCTGTGCTGTTAAATTGCAATTCCGGGAAATGACTAATCCACAAGTACACTTTATCCTCTGAAGGAATTGAATAAGGCATTTTATTAAAGAAGTTAACCTCTGTTGTTAATTTCGCACTATTTACGCATATTTATTTTATTTTTATTTTATTTTTATTTTTATTTTATTTTATTTACACTATAGTTACGTTCCGTGTTTGTTTGTTTTTAAAAATAATTTTCAAAATTTAACAGACGAACTTTTATTAAAATTATAAATGTGAATATAACATGTACTATCAAATTGAATGTACATATAAGCTAGACTGAATATAAAAGCAAGAATAAAATATGATTAAGATAAATGCAAAAATGCATTGTCAGGCATTTGACGCTTGTCGCTATCTTCTGCGTGGGTAGAGGGCTCACGTAACTCTATTCAACAGGCCGAATGACTCAATTACAGAATAGGGACAAAATAAAAAAAAAGATCCATAAAACATTGAAATTCGGCAAGATAAATATTAGATATATTGCAGAGAAAAAAAATAAAATAAAAAATATGCCAAAAAGTCGAAGAAAAGGAAAAGTATAATAACATAGAACCAAGCAAAAACAATTGAAGAAATAAGTCAGCTATGAACCAAGCAAAAACAATTGAAGAAACAAGTCAGCTATAAATACATCCTATATAAATTTAACTTTTTAATTGACTGGATACTGCAGGACATAATGTCGATTGCGCAATTTAGGTAGTTGTAATTATTACACATATTGTGCAGAGGATAATATTTTTATATATTCGTTAATTCAGTTGACAAATAAAACAAATTTCTCTGTTTTACCCCGATTCAAGAAGTATAAAAATTTAACATACTTAAAATTTAAGTACTATACAGTTTATATTATTATCAGAGTTGGTAAAAATGCGCCTCAGGACATAAGCGTACGCATCATAATAAGTGTAATAAAAGAAATTAACTAGTAATAAAAGCAATAAACTGTTACAATAATTTATAACAATGTATGCACAACTTTCTCTCTTAACTAGCTTGGTTATCACAAACTGGAAAAGATATGTAAAACTTTGCAGCATCATGTATGTTTCTATGGTTGTCTCTGAGAGTAATGTTCGACGTGGTGAAAAAATATGCTTATATTTTGAGAATGACCGTTCGACACCTATTGATGTAATACAAGCATACTTAAAATAGCCTTGGAACTCACTTAACGGATCTGCAGATGCACCATCAGTACCATCACAAATTTGTCTTAATCTGGTAAAACCGGTGTCTTGCTTTAACACACGTGCGAACTTTTCTCCAACGGGCTCAATTTTTGCGTCACCTATAGAGTGTAGCAGTCGATTTACTTCGTCCACTATTTGCAGTGACTCCGCTAACGACAACGCACTGTTTTGTAAGTTTTGTATGGCGTCGTGTAATCCTTTATGGTTCTTGTGAATAGTTTTTAAAGCTGTTTCAACAGAAATATCTTCGAATTTTGTCTGGCTTTCCCCTAATAGCTACAGCCTCATCTGGATTGAGTTGTAGTATCAAAGTCTTTATTTGTTGTAAATATTCAGCATAATAAAAAGCATGTTCCCAACGTGTAAGAATCGGCTATGGTGGTTCGGAAATACCGGGACACTTGTTATGAAATACGCGAAGACGTTTAGGAGATTTAAGAAACACTTTTTTTGTATTTGCTATTAATGCATCTATCTTTGGAAAACCTTGTCGAATAGTTTTTGCCACAAGATGTAAAGCATGCACTTTACACGTAACACGACCAACCTACAATCATGTTCTTGAAGAGAACGGCCTACCAAACACATTGTCGCGGCACGATCGGTCACAAACATCAACACTTTTAGACAGGTCAAATTTTTTCAACGTCTCCAGCACCACCCTCGTAATTGTTTGGCTAGTACACTCAGTTAGTCTTTTGCTAGCTAGTAACAATGGAAATCTCTGTTTAAGAGGGTCCATTACACGTACTAAAATAGTTTTTTTTTTCAATCTGTCGTCTCGTCAACACATAACCACAGCAATGTATTTTTTAGTACACATTTGATCTTATTTACAATGTCTTCGCTTACAGTTTGTACATAGTTACGCAACGTTGTGCGACTTGGTAACGTTACCTTGGGATTGTATTTATTCCAGAACTCCTGAAATAGTTGTTTATCGAGTATTATTATAGCACCATTGAATAATAAATCCGGGAATTCACTGATAAATTTATTCACTTTGTCAGCGTATGGCTGTTTTTTTACCCTTGGGCAGGTCTGACATACTTTATCATTAAATTGATATCAAGAATAAAATACAACAAATAAAATTTTCAACAATACAATGGAGAGGAATAAATTAAATTGTACACACCACGAGGCATAGCAATAGACTAAAATCAAATGTTAGTCTTTGCTAAAATAGTAAATAAGTCTCACTTACGTATTTGGATGTTTCTCTACCTGGTACCACCCGCAAATCGGTCCGCAAGACCGATTTGCCAACTCTAATTATAATGATCTTGTGCAAAAAAATTAAATATGTTTTTATGCATCTATGCTCAAATGAGTCGAAGCCAAAATTCATGAGAAGTTCGTATTGGGCGAAACCAATGTCCAGCTGTTCTAAACTTGGCTGATTTAGAATATCTGAGCCGAATTCCTTCCAAATTATCAATATATATGTAATTAGGACACCATATGGTTGACGCATATTCTGAATTACCCCGGACAAAAGTGGTATATTTATAGTAGCTTCAGTGTGTCAATATTTCTGATAATAAATATTAGAGCTTGTAGGTTTTTGTAACAATATATGTAATGTGACTGCTAAAGGACAATTTTTCATAAAAAATAACTCCCAAATCACAGAAAGCATCAGGTCTTGAAAGTATATTATTATCGAGAGAAATGTTTAAAGTGTGCGCTACGCTCACATTTGGCGCAGGCTCACATTTGGCGCAGGCTCACATTTGGCGCAGGGCAAGGCATCCTCCTCTTTCCCAACAAAAAATACTATGTACGAAATATAAATTAAAAATAAAATTAAATTAGGTTTCCTCTTCTTGGTAAAAGTTTAAAATATATAGTGGAATGAAAAAAATAATAACGCTGAACATTTTTTTGCTAATTATTATTTACTACTTTTACAAAACTTATCATAGATAAGTACAACATACATCTTTTTAAACAATTATTTTCCCGGCTATTTGCCAAAACGCAGCGAAGTATTTTTTTCGATCGTCGAAAATTGCCGGCACGCCGATGGTCGTCACGCCGTAACGGTGCGTCGAATCGAAAACGGTCATTAGACTTTTCTGCGCCGTTCGCGACACATAACACGCCGGACGCGAATTTGCCGAAATCGCGGTTTCCAAAATTAGCCCCCTCCGTATTTTTCTCGGAAACTTCCCCGCGA